GTCCCCCGCCATGTCCCCGCCGCAGTGTCCCCTGCCCCATGCCCCAGCCACGGTGTACCCTGCCTGACGCCCCGACATGTTGGCTCCTGCCCCGTGGCCCACCGTGGTGGCACCTACCTAATGTCCCTGCCACAGTGGCCCCTGCCCCATGCCCTGCTGTGCCACTGGGTCCTCACCGCTGTCCGCTGACTCCGTGGGCCCTGACTCGCCCTCTGAGTCGGAGTAGAAAGGTTTCTCCACCTTCTCCTTCCTCTTCTCCCGGCTGGTGCACTTGGTCCACTCAGGAACCTGCTGGCACAGGGTTGATGGAGTGGGGCCACCACCCCTGGGTGGGGAGCCCAAACAGCTGCCCTTGCTCTGCTTCTGTCCCCGGGCGGGTGTGTGGGCACCAGAGAGGGGACATGGGGCAGCTGAGCAGCACCTGGGCACGTTCTCGGGCACTCCCAAGACCTCGAAGCGATGCCCTCACCTCAGCCCCCCCGTGCACCCCAGCATCCTGGGATGCTCCACACACCTCCACGTTCCTCACAGAGGGGTCAGGGGCCTCATCCGGCCAGTCAGGCAGCTCCTGGTAGCCCACAGCCTTGGCGTTGAGCAGGTGGGACAGGGAGCCCAGCTGGAAGTGGTCCCGATCTACAGTAGGGTGAGAGGTGGCAGCAGCTCGGGGACAGCCATGCAGCACTGTGGTGACATCTGGCCCCGTGTCCCCATGACCTGTGACCAGGGGTGGGTACCTTTGAAGGAGGACTCCAAGATGGGAGCAGGTTTTTGGGCCAGGAAGAGCTTCTTGGCGTACTTGTTGAGGGCCCCGCTCTTCTCAGTGGGCACAATGAGCTGGCGGATGAAGCGAGCCCGGTCGCGGATGTCGTAATTCTGGTCATACTTGGCCAAGTTGAGCACGTACTGGGTCAGCAGCTTGCTCTGTTCCAGGGGACATGCTCAGGGCCAGACTCTCCCTCCCTGATGGGGAAACTGAGGCATGACATTAGAACATGTCCCCGGTACCTGCTTGGAGTTGGTCAGGTAGAGCTTGGCTGCCAGGTTGATGACCTGCAGCTTGACGATGTCCTCCTCGTTGGTGAAGGACTTGGCCATCTTGCGCAGCACATCGGGTGCAATCTTGGGCACGTGCTCGCAGTACTCGCCGATGAGCCACAAGATGCTGGCCCGCGCCATCGGCACCTGCAAAATGCCCCCGGGCACGTGGCACCGCTGCCGCTCCCCTGGTCCTGCAGGCCACGCAACACCCCAACCCACCTGGATGTTGTCAGTGAGCTTGGCCATGTGCTTGATGATCTCGCTGTGCTGGGCCGGCTGCATTTGCAGCAGCTTTTTGATGACCACCACGGATTCGGCCACCACCAGCTCTGCGGGCAGAGTCCTGGCCTCAGCGGGGTCCTGCCTCGAGAGCGATGGAGCCCCCATTTCACCCTTGCCACAGGCACTCACCGTCCCGGTTGGAGAGGAGCTGGACCAGGCCGTTGAGGCAGGTGTCCCGAACCTTCCCGATGTTGGTGGCACAGCGCCCTATGGCTTGGATGGTGGCTGCCACGAAGTCCTTGTCCATGCTGCGGATGTAGGTCTGCACAGGCATGGGGGGACACGCATGACATGTCACCCACATGACAGTGCTGGGCATCCTCCACACGGGGGATCCTCCGCAGGCCACACATTGGGGGTCTTTGGAGCCTCCCATAGGGTGGTCATGGTCTTAGCCCACTCCTCCTGGTAGGGCTCTCCTCCATCCCCTCCATGGTGGTGTTTTGGCACCCAGAGCCATGCCAGGGTGGCACCCCAGTGACCTCAGTATGGCCATGGCATACCTGGAACTCCCGCAGGATAGTGGAGATGTTGGTCTCATTGGCCAGGTTGGTGAGGACCTCCAGCTGCAGGAAGGAGGGAGAGATGGGCAGCACACAGTGCTGGGGCACTGGGTCCTTGCTGTCCTCCTGTCCCCAAGGCATGGAGGACAGCTGCCCCACAGGCAGGGGCCCCATGAAGTCCCAAGGCCACCGGTGATGGGTTCTGCCAAGCACTTCCAGCTCACCTTGAGGATCTTGATCTGCGTGGGGTCAGTGGAGCGAATGTAGAAGCTCTTCAGGTAGGGCTCAAACATCCCCTGTGTGCAGAGCAAGCAACGTTAGTGCCATCCCTGCCCCCCCGTCGCCCCGCGCCCCCCC